TGCCTGGGAGGTCAGAAGAGGGCTTCGGATTCCCCTGGAACTGGAGTTAAGGACAGTTCCTAGCCGCCATGTGGGTGCTGGGAATCAAACCCAGGTCCTCTGCAAGAGCAATCAGCTCTTAACCACTGAGCCATCTCTCTAGCCCCAGATAAGGTAAACTTTTGAGAGGAGCAGAATGTGAGGACCATAGAGAGAACTGTTAGTTTTTAAACTGGACATTGTTTCAAGGTAACCAAAATGAAATTAGGCATGCTTGAACAGGGAGCTGGGAGGGACATAGGATTCCGGGATGAGGCAGGTAAGTGACAAAGCTGTAAGGCACTTGGCACTGTGGGGTCAGAGGGATGCAGACATGCTGGAGCTGGGCAGCATGGAGAAGCTGAAGAAGGCACTAAGGGGCAGTGAAAGGAAAGGCCAGTTCTAGGGAATCGAGTGGGCAGGGCTCGCTGGCCTGGAGGCGTTGCAGAATGAGGGGTCTGTGTTTTTGAAGAAGTCATTTTGTGGGCAAGCCTGTATACAAAGATGTTTAAATTAGCCTTGAACAAGGGATCCAGACAAATGAATCCAGAACTTGAGGAGCTAGAGAGATGACTCAGTGGTTAGAGCACTGATTGCCCCCACAGAGAATCCAGGTTTGGTGCCTAGCACCCATGTGGTGGCTAACAACCTTCCATAACTCCAGTTCCAGGGGAATTCCAATGGCCTCTTCTGACTTCCATGGGCATTGCAGGACATGGGTACACTTACACATATGCAGGCTTTGTGAAGAAGGCCTGTCTGGCTGTGTACTTAACTTTTGGACCACAGTTAGCACTCAGCCAATAATATGCAAAGAGCACCTGGCATGTAAGTAGCACAGTATGTGTCAATTAAAGCATTTTTAAAATTTTAATTTTGTTTTATGTATACAAGTGTTTTGCCTGCGTGTATGTACATACACCAGGGAGAGCAGAAGAGGGCGCTGGGGCCACCATGTGGACTGGAAACAGAACCCAGGTTCTCTGCAAGAGAAGTAACTCTGAGCAATCTCTCCAGCCTCTTAAAAAATTTTAAATTATGGGGCTGGAGAGATGGCTCAGTGGTCAGAACACTTTTCTTGCAGAAGACTCAGGTTCGAATCCCAGCACCCACATGGCAGCTAACAACTCTCCATAACTCCAGTTCCAGGGGATCCGTCGGCCTCTTCTGTCCTCTGAGGGCATTGCATGACACGAGTGCACTTATATGCAGGCAATACACACATATACATAAAATAAAAAATAATAAAATATGTTTTTAATTTTTTAAAATTAAATTTACTGGGACTGGAGAGATGGCTCAGCAGTTAAGAGCACTGACTGCTCTTGCAGAGGACCCAGGTTCAATTCCCAGCACCCACATGACAGCTACAAACTGTCCTTAACTCCAGTTCCAGGGGAATCTGAAGCCCTCTTCTGACCTCCGCGGCATTGCACGACACGGGTGCACTCACATACATGCAGGCAATACACTCATACACATAAAATAAAAATAATAAAAAAAGTTTTAAAAAATTAAATTTTCTCTTGTGTGAGAAAAGGGGATGTATGTGGAGGTCAGAGGACAGTTTTGGGGAATCACTTTCTCTTCTGTCCACCACGTGGGTCTCAGAAACGGAGACCTCAAGCGCCTTTGCCAGCCCTGTGTGTCACTTATTCCTCCTGTGTGTCATGGACTCCTGAAGGATCTCCATTCTTTGCTTCACACACCCTACCCTGGTGACAGCTGAAGCTCACATGGGATGAATACTGAGGCAACCTGAGGGGGGATGTGGACACCCTGCTTTAGTGGCTGGTTGCAGAACCCTAATTTTTCAGTGTGTGCCATGGAGCCTCTGGTCATCTCTGCCTGCCTTCTTCCACACATAGCTACTATGATAATCACAACTCTGCTACAAAAAGCCAGATGAATAGGAAAGTCACTGTATTACCTTGCAAGCTGGGGCTACAGATTTAGATCCCACACAGATCATAGGTTAGAAAGAACCCTTCCGGCCTCCCCAGGAAGTAAGTTCTTTCTCTCGTGGGGCACCACCTAGAGCCAGGAACACAAGAAAGAGGAAGGGCAGGGGGCAGAGGCTGGTACCTGGTGAGAACGCAGTGTGCGGGCAGCCACGGTGCTTGCAGGGCAAAGGGACAGGTGAAGGAGAGGTTCCAGGGTGGTGCAGCGCCGCCTGGGTCAGGGGCCTTCAGGGTTGTGGCCACACTGCAGTATTTGGGCAGCCAGGGGTCGGTAGAGGACTGCATGGCCTTTGGAGAAGCCCAGGCATCACCCGAGCTGCAGCCTCAGCCCAGCAGAGGGCGCTCTCCGCTCTTCCCGCACACTCCCGGGCTGTCCTCTTTGGAGCATCTGCTACAGGAATGTCAGCTCAGGAGCTAGGGAGGGCTGGAAAAGTGGAAGATGGGGACTTTGAGAAAGGCCTCTTTAATCCTCTTTCAGAGGCTGTGCTCACAGCATGTTACACGCCCCCCACCCCCAGACAAGCTCCATAGAAACACCTGGCAGCTCAGCACATTCAGGTTTTTCCTTTCTCCTCCCCTCCTCCTCCCCCTTCCCCTCCCTCTCCCCCTACCCCTCCTCCTCCGTGGCTGTGACTTTTGGAGTACATCCATGCTTCTCTTCACACACCCTGCCCTGGTCAGCTGATCCCTACCCCAAGCCACAGGCTCCCTGCTCAACAGGACTAACTTCCCCCTTAGGCCAAGCTAAGTAAGATCCCAAGGCTAGCCCCTTTGTAAATGTCTTCAGAGGCGACGGCAGCCACCAGAGGTGTGCTAGGGTCTACCCCCTGCCCAAGGCCATAGAGTCGACCCCAAAGGGACTTACCCACAGCCCCCAATCCAGCCTAGACTTCAGCCTCGCCACAGCCTGAGCCTTATCTGACAGTAGAGCACAGGGCCTTGGCCCAACAACTCTTGGTTGCCAAGCAGGTTGCCATGGATGTGAGGCAGCAGGAACACCAAGCCCAGGAGAGTACTGAGCCGAAAACCTTGGGAGACTTGGAGTTGAAGGGTTGTATTCTGAGCTCTTTTCTTTTCTTTTTTAAAAATATTTTATTTATTATTTTTATTTTATGTGTATGCATGTATTGCCTGCATGTAGGTAAGTGCACCCGTGTCTTGCAATGCCCGTGGAAGACAGAAGAGGCTGTGGGATCCCCTGGAACTGGAGTTACTGACAGTTGTTAGCTGCCATGTGGGTGCTGGGATTCGAACCCGGGTCTTCTGCAAGAACAATCAGCGTTCTTAACAGCTGAGCCATCTTTTCAGCCCTGAGCTGTTTTCTCACAGTGGGAAACCCTCAGGAGTGCCAGCAATGTCCTGAGAGGGACCCTAAGCTCCACAGAGACTAGAGACTGGATGGGGGTGGGGAGCCACTGGGTGACTTAAGACTCTTCCTTCCTTAGAGGTTAAAAACAACAGCAGGGCCTGATGGTGCATGCTTTTACTCCCAGCACTCAGGAGGCAGAGGCAGCAGGATCTCTGCGAGTTCAAGGTCAGCCTAGTCTACATAGTTCCAGGCCAGCTGGGGCTACAGGGAGACCCTGTCTCAAAAAGACACCCCCCCTCAAATAAAACCAAAAAACCCCAGCAACAATAAAAACAAAATCATCTTGGGACTGGGCAGATAGCTCAGAGGATAAAGGGCTCTCTACACAAGCATGAGGACCTAAGGACCTGTGTTTGGATCTGCAGCACTAACAGGGCCGGCCTATAACCTGGGGAGGGGAGGGGGTGTTAGTATCCAACCAGTGACCCATAATGGGGACTTCCAGGTTAAATGAGAGGCCCTGTCTCAAAAAATAAGGGGGAGAGTGACTGAGAAAGACACCATCTGGCCTCCACAGGCCTGTTGCATGTGTGCACGTGCACACACGCACACACACACACACACACACACACACACACACACACTAACCAAAGGCCTGGGCATTTTTTGTAACAAATAGGACTCTCCTGAGAAGTAAAAGTGTGGCAGATCAGTAGGAATGTGGGGGAAAGACACTGGTGACAGAACTGCTGTCATTCAAAAATCCATAGGAGGGGGGCTAGAGATATGACTCAGCAGTTAGGAGAGGACCTGGGTTCAATTCCCAGCACCCACATGGCAGCTAACAACAGTCCATAACTCTAGTTCCAGGGGATCTGACACCCTCTTCTGACTCCAAGGGCATTGCACAACACAGGTGCACTTACACACATGCAGGCAATACACTTATAAAATAAAAATAATTTTTTTTTTAAATCCACAGGAGGAGCCTGGTATTTTGTGACATCTGGTAGTTGTGGTAGCTTGATCAAGTTCCTGGTACTGTGTTCAGTGGAGAATACCAAAGAAAGTGTGCCCTGGGACATTTATGGGTATCTTGGCACAACCATCCTCCCTTTCCACCAGCTCCTGTTAGGGACTGTGGATCTCTGTACTTACAGGCTGGCTATACCCCAGCTCCAGAGTGAGTTGTGTCAGTCAGCACAGTGCCTTATCCTGGTGGTACAAGTTCGTTAGGCAAGGTCTGTCTGTTTTTGAGCTGCTTCAGTCAGAATAGGTCTCAAGACTATTGCTGGGAATTTGGGGTTAGAGACTCTCCCTGTGTGTAAATAAGGAGTGTGTAATGCTGAGGGATTCTGACCGCTGTTTCCAGAGAAGCTCATAAAGACAGACTTAGGTTCTTAGGCACTCTAGCACAAGTAGCTTGCTGTTTCCTTACAGTGAATCCTGTACTGTCTCTTTAAATAAAGCTTCTTGCTCTTTTGCAAGAGAGAGTGAGGGACTGGAGAGATGGCTCAGTGGTTAGGAGCTCTTGCAAAGGACCTGGGTTCCATTCCCAGCACCCACATAGCAGGTAACAATTATCTGTAACTCCAGTTCCAGGGGAATCTGATGCCCTCTTCTGACCTCTGCAGGCATTGCACAACATGGGTGCACTTACATGCAGGCAATACACTCATATATAAAATAAAAATAATAGACTTTTTAAAGAAGAGGGAGAGATCGAAAGATGGCAGATTGTCGGTGATAGCGTTTGGTCCCTCAGTTGTGTGAGTGAATAAACTTCCTGTTTTGGTTCTGACAGGGTTGAGTTTTCTCTTGAAAAGTGTCTTGAGCAGCAATGTCCCCACAGAGCTAGCCTGTCAGTCAGCAGAATAGCTGTGGCCCAGATCCATGTGCCACACATGGCACACACGGTTAGAGTGGAGGAAAGAGCAATGAAGCCCCGCACCCAGGGAAGGGTTACTGAAGAAGGCAGTGGGGTTCAACGGTGGGGAAAAATATTCCGGATGGGATAGGAAAAAGAGTAAAGACTGATTTCTTCTAGGGGAGATGGGTGTCCTTGGATATTTGTAGTGAAGGGAATTTTGAAAACCAAGTGGATACATTTAAACAACAGAGTAGTCAAAAGGAAGTCATCAGGCAGTTAGAGCAATAAAGTGACATGATAAACTTTAAGAATTTCACAGATACATACACACACACGAAGGAAGGAAGGAAGGAAGGAAGGAAGGAAGGAAGGAAGGGGCCGGGAGTGGTGGCACACACCTTTAATTCCCAGCACTCAGGAGGCAGAGGTAGGCAGATCTCTGTTAGTTCATGGCCAACCTGGTTTACATAGGGAGTGTCAGGCCAGCCAGGACTATATAGTGAGACCCTGTCTCAAGAAGGAACTTCAGAATGAGGGTGGAGTGGAGCCAGTTGAGAACAGGAGCACAGAGGTGAGACAGTTAACAAACAATGGTCCTGACACAGGTGACAGGATTGGAATTGGAGAAAAGTAACAGGCATTTCCTGACAGACACCCTTTTTAGTTGAGGCTGTCTGCAGGATCCAGAGAATACAGACTGAACAAGATGGTGGGCTGTCTGCTTAGAAGACAGAGGTGTATAGTGTGTAGAGACAGCAGGATGGAAACGCAAGAGAACCCGTGAGCACAACAAAGGTGCAGCAATGGCTGGGTCCGGAAATTGGGAATGCCATCATGGAGACACGTGATAGCAGGGATGAATGTGATAAACAGTGGGAAGGAAGCCTCCGTGCCTCAGCAGGGCTCGGTGACCATTGGACCCTGGGAGCTGAGGGAGAAGGAAGGGCTGAAGGTTTCCATGGGAATAGAAACAGACTCCAGGGTGTGGGGCATGGACTGTTCTTCCAGGAGTGAAGGGAGGACCTACAGGACAGCTGAAGGCACCCTAGCCAGAAGAGGCCGGATGATGGTGATGTATGGGCAACGCAGGGTAACAGTGAGAAGTAATGGTCATGAATCCTGATTAGGTGTCAGGTGTGGTTAATCCTTTAAATAAGTGTATGGGTAATTGCTATTATTATTATTAATAGTAGTAGTAGTATTTTCATTTTGTGGATAAAGAACCCAAAGATGGAGAAGAGGTACTGGAGTGAAACTTCAAATGATTAGATTCCAGACCCTTCTTTTGCTTTTTTTCTCCATTTTAATGTGTGTGAGTGTGTCTGACTGTCTTGTTGTGTATGCATGTTTGCATGTGTGTGGGCAGGTGTGTGTTGGAAATCATCTATGAGTCTTCCACCTTCAATCAAGGCCTCTCAATCAAATCCAGAGCTCACAGGTCTACATGATTTACATTGGCATTTGGGGAACTCAATTCCAGTTCTCACATTTGTGTGGCAAGTGCTTTAACCTCTGTGCCATCTCCCAGCCCCTGCAGAACCTTCTTAAGCCCTGTGCTAAGCTGCCTACGGAAGTCTACCTGCAGGAAAAAAAAATATTTCCAAACATTTCGTGAACTGATTTTTCTTTCTCAGAACTGCTGCTTGTTTTGACTTTTTTTTTTTAACATTTTTTATTTATTATTTCTATTTTATGTATGAGTGTATTGCCTGCATGTAAGTGAGTGCATCCGTGTCGTGCAATGCCCTCACTGCAGACAGTTGTTAGCTGCCATGTGGGTGCTGGAATACGAACCCAGGTCTTCTGCAAGAACAGTCAGTGTTCTTAACCACTGAGCCATCTCTCCAGCCCGTGTTTTGACTTCTTATCAACCCCAGATAAATAAAAACCACCCAGATTTGACAGACACGGGAAGTGTGCTGGGATTGCTTAGCATAAAGTGGCTGCCAAGCCCAGGACAACCACTGAGTAAGCAGTCTTCAGACTTCCAGTGCTGTGGGGAGAGCCTCAGACCAAGGGTGTGAGAAGGGGAGGGCCAGAGGCAGAGAACCCTGCCGGGAAGCCTGTTCCCTTAGAGTTCTTAAAAAATTATTTAAATTTTTTATTTTATATGCAAGAATGTTTTTCCTGCATGTATGTAAGTGCATCCGTGTTTTGCAATCCTCACAGAGGCCAGAAGAGGGTCAGATCCCTTGGAACTGAAATTAGAGGCCTTCTTGACCACCATGTGAGTGCTGAGGATTGAATCCAGGTCCTTTCCAGGTCCTCTGCAAGAGCAGCCAGTGCTGAGCCATCCCCGCCCCTCCCCCAGAGTTCTTAAAGAAATGAGCCACGCCTTTTCTCAGTCTGTGTGAGATACTTTAGTGTAGCTGAAATCCAGAAAGGTAACCACTCTAGCATAATGTGGCAGTGGACATTGGCCTCCCAGAAACCATCAAGTCTACTGGATGATGCTAGGGGAGACCCCATTGTGTGAGTTGCGTTTCGATTTGGAAAGTGCTAGCTCAAACGAAACTCAGAACAGGGTCAGCGGGGTGGCTGGTGATGGCCCCGGGGTTCATCTTAGTCCCGGGGTCATCGGCATACAAGAGAGACTGCAGGTAGCTGATGTACTTGATGGCAGCCCTGAGGGTTTCCACTTTGCTGAGCCGTTTCTCCAGGTACTCCTCGGGCAGGTGATGCCGGAGCCGGGCGTAGCCTTCGTTGACACACTTCACCCGCTGCCGCTCACGCTCATTCCTCTTGCGGATGAAGGCCGGCCCGTAGGAGTATTCACACCGTCTGTAGTTTGGATATGGCGTGGGGAAAGGGAAGGGGTAGGGCTCCCCGTAACCTTCCATGATCAGCGCGTCGCTGGAAAAAGGCAGCGACGGCAGCTCCTCGGCGTAAGGAGATGGCACGGGGCCCTCGGGGTACAGGTGCACGGTGACCATGGGGTCCAGATAGAAGGGCCTGGACAGAGGCAAGTGGGCAGACTCGGAGAAGACGGGAAGCCTGCCTGGTGGGTTAGAATAGCTGCTAGCATCCATCCTTTCCTCTTTCACCTAGAGAGAGAACCATGTTAGTAATTTGACCAGATCAAAAGAGGGCAGGTTTGACCTACTTTATTAAAGATCAGTGTTTTTTTTTTAATGTTTTATTATTTTTATTTTTTATGTGTATGTATTGCCTGCATGTATGAGAGTGCACCCGTGTTGTGCAATGCCCCGGAGGTCAGAAGAGGGCTTTGGATTCCCCCTGGAACTGAAGTTAAGGACGGCTGGAAGCCGCCATGTGGGTGCACCGGGTCCTCTGCAAGAGCAGTCAGTGCTCTTAACCACTGAGCCATCTCTCCAGTCCCAAAGATCAGTGTTTTAAAGACGTCTGCTGTGATCATTAGTTTTTGGGCTCATCTGGAAAAGAAGATGTGATTATAATCCTCTGTGGATATGATTTGGCCATGGTGGCCTACACTTATAATTCTAGCGCTTGGGAAGCTGAGGCAAGAGAATCACTGTGAGTTGGAGGCCAGTCTAGTCTACACAGTGAGTTCAAAATACCAAAAAAAAAGTCTCTGTAGTAAGAAAGATGATCTTTCAAAGCACACACACACATACACACACCTGCATAACAGAGGACTTCCCTCCTCCTCCTTCTGCTTTTCCTTCTTTAAAAAATTTTACTGTAGGCTGGGCATGGTGGCACACTCCTTTAATCCCAGCACTCGGGAGGCAGGAGAATCTCTGTGAGTTCAAGGCCAGCCTGGTCTACATAGTGAGTTCCAGGACAGCTGGGGATACAGAGAGACCCTGTCTCAAAAAGACCAAAAACAAAATTTTTTTTTTTACTTTAGATTTTACTTTTATTTTTAGTGTATGAATGTTTTGCCTAGATGTATGTATGTGCACTACATGTATGCTGTGCTCGTAGATGCCAGAAGAAGGTATTGAAGAAGGTATTCAGATCCCTTGGACCTGAAGTTTCAGGTCGTTGTTAGCTGCCATGTGCTTGCTGGAAGCAGCCTCTGCAAAAGCAGTCAGTGCTCTTAACCACTGCACCATCTCTCCAGCCCCAGAAATTTATTTATTTACTTATTTATTTATTTATTTTTTGTCTTTTTGAAGCAGGGTCTCCCTGTAACCCCAGCTGTCCTGGAACGCACTATGTAGATCAGGCTGGCCTTGAATTCACAGAGATCTGCCTGCCTCTGCCTCCCAAGTGCTGGGACTACAGGCATGCGCCACCACACCCGGTGCTATTTATTTACTTTTTAAAGTGTAGTACAAAGTAATGAATTTCATTATGGCATGTCACCCCCCCCTTCCCCGAGACAGAGTTCCACGATGTAGACCAGACCAGGCTACCCTAGAGCTTTCTATGTAGACCAGGCTGGCCTCAAACTCACAGTGAGCTTCCTGCTTCTGCTGCCCAAGTGCTAGGATGAAGGGTATGCACCACCATGCCTCATATAAAGTGTGTGTGTGTATGTGTGTGTGTGTGTGTATGTGTGTGTGTGCGCAGGTGTGGAGGTCAAAGAACAAATTCTTGGAGTCGTTTTTCTCCGTCCACCATGTGGGTTCCAGAGATTGAACTCAGGCTGACTGTCAGCCTTGGTGACAAGTGCTTTTACCGTCTTGCTGGTCCAGATTTTGCTTTTTGTTTTTTAATTAATTAATTTTTATTTTATGTGCATGAGTGTTTTGCCTGCATGTATGTAAGTGTACCTGTGTTGTGCAAAGCCTGTGGAGGTCAGAAGAGGGTGTTGGATCCCTTGGAACTGGAGTTAAGGACGGTTGTTAGCCAACATGTGGGTGTTGGGAACCAAATCTGGGTCCTCTGCAAGAGGACCTTAAACACTCGGCCATCTCTTCAACTGCCAATTTTGCCTTTAAGACAAGATCTGTGGAGCCCAGACTGGCCTTGAACTCACAATCCTCCTGCCTTCACCTCCTGAATTTTGAGATTTCAGGCATGAGCCATCAGGCCTAGCAAGAAACATTTGCTCTTAAATATTCACTGTAAAATTTATTTAAGTTAGAAACTCCCCTATCACATTTGAAATAGTCAATTTGCACGTTTTCATTTACACAGAACTCTATTTTTATCATTTATGTATTTATTTATTTTATGTGTATGAGTGTTATGCCTGCATGTATGTAAGTGCACTGGTGTCATGCAATGCCCAAGGAGGACAGAAGGTGTTGGATCACCTGAAACTGAGGTTATGGACCATTGTTAGCCACCATATGGGTGCTGGGATTCAAACCCAGGTCTTCTGCAAGAACAGCCAGTGCTCTTAACTGTGGCGCCATCTCTCTAGTCCCAACTTAACTTTAAATACTTGGGTTAATGTGCAACTATGTTTAGGTTTTGGAGTGTCCTTCCTGACCATACCTTGGAACATAAGGATAGTTTGCCCTAAAAAATTCCATCTAATAGGTCTGCGTGCATCTCTGCATGTGTGTGTGTGTGTGTGTGTGTATGTGTGTATGCCTGTATGTATATATATGTGTGTGTATGTGCTCATGTTTGCATGTGTATGTGCAAGAACCTGTGCCTGCCTCTGTGTGTGTGTGTCTGTGCATGCCTGTATGTGTATGTATGTATGTGTATTTGCTCATGTTTGCGTGTGTGTGCAAGAATCTGCACGTGCCTCTGTTGTGTGTGCGTGTGTGTGTGTGATGCCATGCTCAGGAATTGAACCCAGGGCTTTGCACATGCAAGTGCTCTACCATCCAGCTACATGGCCATTACCTTTTTTGCCTGGATTTTTCTAGGGGCATTATAGATTAACCAGCTGCCAGGAGCATTTGTCTTTCAGTTATAACTCCTTCAGGATTTCCACCTTGGCTTTACCTTTCCTTGCTCTGGGTCCTTAGACAAGTTTCTTAACCTCTCTGAGTCTCAGTTACTTCCTATGTCCACTTGAGCTATTAACTATCTTCAGGGTGATAACTAACAGAAACCAAAAGAATCCATGTAATACCCGGTCCCCCACATCGGCTCTTTTCCTTTTCCACCACAGATGGATACTTGTTGCCTCCCTTTCTCTGCACCTCATGGTTTATGTTTTTTCAACACTGGACAATCAAAACATTGATGTCTCCAGAGACACTTGCTGAGAAATGAAGAGCACTCTTGGGTCACAGGACAAGCACAAGCAGCTTGTGTAACCTCGGGTCTCCACACAACACAGACGTGAGGCTCTCCAGTGGCTTGGGGTTGGGTGGGTGGCTTTCCAGTGCCTGTGGCAATCCCAGATTGCTCTCTAGGCTTGGCATCGTAAAAGAAAAAAAAAAAACAAAAACAAAAAACGGTCAAGCAAACATACTAAATGTTCACTGGCAAGATTCAGTAACGCTGGTGTCCCTCCCTCTCTGTCTCTCAATCTCTTTCTCTCTGTCCTTCTCGCTCTCTTGCTTGCTCTCCCTCTCCTTCCTTTCTGAAACTGGATCCTGCTGTGTAGCCCTGGCTGATATTTGCTAGCTAGCTCAGGTTGGGATCTAGGCCTGCCCAGCTTCGGGCTGAGCGCAGTAGGGACCGGGTAGGCTGCACTGCATGATGGGAGGAACAGCCTTTAAGACCAGATTCCAGTGTGTTTGAAGCCTTGTGAAAAGACTTGGGTATGATTTCTAAAGAGATAAGAAACTGAGGAAACAGAAAGGGCGGGGGACGGGGCTCGGGGTTGATCGCCACAAGCTGGGGGCTGGAGGGCGGGTGAGGAAGGGGAAGGGTTATTAGAAGCCACCGTGAAACTGACTGGAAAAGGAGTGACTGCCAGGAAAACCTTGTGCTAAATGAGCTGGGGAAGGTTAAGCCAGATAGGCCAGTTAAAAACCTAAACAGAGGAATTGGGAAGTGAGAGATTCCAAATTACTGTCCAAATGACCTTAAATAGCTAACATAAAACGAAAGTCTTCGGGAGATTAAAAGGGAGCCAGAATTCTGTCGAAAAGAAAGAAGCTGAGAGAAAACTAGTCAGGAAACTCCCAAGCCAAGAATTCTAGAGGCTAAGAGAAAACAGCATGTCTGGCAGAAACTTCACAGCTGGTGATGGGGCTGGAAATGCAGCTCAGCTGGTGGAGGCTTGCCTGGCATGCCCCCGATTCCCCGCCCCCCAGCACTGACTAAACCTGGTGTGGTGGTGGTACATGCATGTATATCAGCATTTAGGAGGTGGAGGCAGGAGGATCAGAAATTCAAGGTCATCCTTATCCAGCCTGGGACACCTAAGACTCTGTCTCAAAACAAAACAGGCCTATGGGAAGGTGGCCTGCACTACTTATTTCTGACAAAAGCCTTTTTTTTTTTTTTTTTTGCCTACAGCTAACAAGTTAAATAGAACTTTAATTATATCAGTACCCTACTTATCTTTTTTTGGTCTTTTTGAGACAGGATCTCCCTGTAGCTCCACCTGGCCTGGAACTCACTACATAGACCAGGCTGGCCTTGAACTCACAGAGATCTGCCTGCCTCTGCCTCCTGAGTGCTGGGATTAAAGGCGAGTGGCACCATGCCCTGCTCCCTAGTTAGCTTTTACTGTCAACTTGATGCTGCCTAGAGTCATCTGAGAGAGGAATTGACTAGCTAAGATTGGCCTGTGGGTATGTCTATGTCTATCTTATGAATATGTGTGTTGCCTGCATGTATGTATGTGCACATGTGCCTGGTACCATCGAAGGCCAGAAGAGGACCCCCTGCAACTGGAGTCACAGGAGGTTGTGAGCTGCCTGATATGAGTGTTGGGAACCAAACCTGGGTCCGCTGCGAGGGCAGCACAGCTGAGATATCCCTGGAGCCCTGGTTGTTAATTGATGTAGGACGGCCCAGCCCACTGTGGGTGGTACCATTGCCTGGGCAGGTAGGCCTGGGCTGAATAAGAAAGCTTGCTAAGCAGAACCCTATAAACCAGAAAGTGAGCCAGCAAGCAGCCATTCCTCCACAGTTTCTGCTTCAAGTTCTTGATTGAGTTCCTGCCCTGTCTTCCCTCAGTGATTGACTGTAACCTGTAAGCTGAAATAAACCCTCCCCACACCCAAGCTGCTTTTGG